GTCAGAGGCAGTGAGGTTGGCGCAGGATAGAGCAGGGTTTAGCACTGTTGTGCATAGGGTCTCTATGAGTAGCAAACGACTCGGCGGCACATAACAACAACAACAACAACCACCACCATTCAATGAACTTTGAGGAAAGGCTGTGTTAGATGGATCTGTTTCCCTATGGAGCCCCACTTCCCACTGGGCAAAAAGCAAACGTCCAGACTGACAACTTCAGAACCCACCAACCTTGTAAATTTCAGAAAAAAAGAAAAAAGTCAAGGCCTACTTTTCCTCAGTGCCAAACAGAAGCAGTTACTTACGAAGCAGTTGTCCAATCCCCAGAGCTCTCGCCATCTGTGAGAAGGTGGTTTCTGTCTGGTCCTGGAGGCCCCTGGACAGCTGCAGCGGTAGGAGATGGTGAGGAAAGCGAGTCTAGACTGCTGGTAGGTGTCTCCTCCTTAGGAGGGTGGGCACTGTCACCTAAAAGGAAAAAAAAGGCATTACATTTCAATGAAAATACAAGAGAAAAGAAAAACAATCTCAGAAATAATTACATGACATTATTTGATTAGCCAATCAAATGCCATTCATAATTTTTTGGGTTGTGTTTTAAAACCAAGTTGCTTAAAAGAAATCACAGATAATACATACTGAGAGTATTTGCCTCACAGTAATTAAAATCAGATCAAACAGAAGACCAAGTCTTAATGGCAACCACAGGATTTCCTCAGCTCTAAAATGCTTCCAACGATAACCTCAAGAACAGCGCACCAGTCCTGCAGGTCACTCTTCTATCCAGCCACCTGATGGATTTTTTTTAAGCCATTCCCAGTCACCACTTAGTGTATATAACTTAAACAACTCAAGAGGGACTTTGTCTTCTGAACTGGTATGTTGGATTACAATTTAATAGCCCAACTTAATAAAATCCCTGGACATAGAGAAACTTTCATTTTCCTGTGAACATTAAGGAGGATGTTATATAAGAATCAAGCCCCTGCAGTGACTGCAGGGGATGAATTTAAACCAAACCTAAAAAGCATTTGTTACATGGGTTGCATGATATATGCATTCACAGAGGACCATTTTATGAAATATGCTTCCCATCATTTATACACATTATGGGCTTTGGTGAAAAATGCAGAGCTTGAAAGAGCAGCTGTTTCTCCTCCACTGGCTTTCCTGCTTCAAGAGTAGCCCAGCTTCCCTAAAACACACCTGAGCAGCACCCATCAGAGCCTGGGCTTGGCAGTCACATCCACAGTCCCTGATAAATGTTACCTCTCCAGGTGTCCTGCAAGGGCAGCAGCATACTATCCAAATGGGATAGATTTCACTGTTGTTTCATGGGTAATTAATCATAACATTCAACCAACAAAATGTCATGGAAGCAAATAACCACCAAGAAAAGGTCCATACCTCCAGGCACTAAATGCTCTGGGTTGACCTTACCTATATTTGTAATCATTTCTAGGACTTAAAAGGGATTCTGAGGTGGTGTAAATGGGTAAGAGTTCAACAACTAGCCAAAAGATTGGCAGTTTAAACTCAGAATAAACGACTGGCCATCTGTACTCAAAGAGGTCCAAGCCTTAAAAACCCTCTGGAGTACAGCTATAATCTGCATACAGGGGCTCACCGTGAACTGGACCTGATTTGACAGAAACTAACAACAATGGAATTTGAAAGAACATCAGGAACAAGGAAATTTCTCTGAAAAATCATCCTGGATGGATTTCAAGTCTGCTAGTAATAATTCTATGTTCATAATAAGCTAGATCCCAAGATACTGATTTTAAAAAGTGGTTGTATAACTCATGTTTGTTATTGTTAGGTTCCATTGTGTTGAGAATCACTCAGAGCAACACTATGAATAACAGATATGAATCCTGTCCGACCCTGTGCCAACTCACAATCTCTGACACTCTCAAACCCATTGCTTCAGTCACTGTGTCAATCCACCTGGTTGAGGGTCTTGCTCTCCTTCACTGTCCCTCCCACCTCTTCACGCATGATGTCCTTCTCCAAGGAACAGCCTTTCCTAGCAACATGTCATGTATGTGACACAAAGCTTTGCCATCCTTGCCTCTCAGGAGTCCTCTGGCTGCACCTTCTCCAAGGTATATCTATTTGTTCTTTTAGCAGTCTGTAGGAAATTATGTGCACTTCTCCAAAACCACAATTCAAAGGAATTAACTGTTCATCTGCCATCTTTATTCACTGTCCATCTCTCAGTGGCACAGCAAATGACTGAAAAGATCATGGTCCGAATCAAGCACACCTTAGTCCACAAATTAACATCATTCCTCCTCCATAATTTGGAGAAGTCTCTAATTGCAGATTTTCCTAGTGCAATACTTCCTAATTGTTGGTATCAAGGAAATTGATTGTGGATCCGAGTAAGAGGAAGTCAATGAGAGTTTCAATCTTTTCTGTATTATGATGGTGACTATTGGTCCAGTGGTAAGAATTTTTTTTTTCTTAACATTGAGATGTAATCCATATTGAAAGCTGCCGTATTTGACCTTCTGCAGCAAGAGTTTCAAGTTCTCCTCACCTGCAGCAAGTTAATATTGTGCCATCTGCATAACAAAGGTTACTGATGAGCCTTCCTCCTATCCTGAAGCCACATTCTTCTTAACAGAGTCCAGCTTCTTTAATATATTCAGCATACAGATTGAATAGGTATAGTGAAAGATACAACTCTAATGCATGTCGTTTTAAATTTTAAACCAGGTAGTAGTCCTTGTTCTATTTGTACAACAGCTTCTTGGTCTAGCTATAGACAATTTGTTTACATGGACACAATTAAATGTCCTTGGACTCCCGTTCTCCTCAATGTTAGCTGTAATTTGTTATGACCGACATGGTAAAATGTCTTTGCATAGCCAAATAAAGCACAAACAAACATTTATCTGTTATTCTTCTCTTTTAGCCAGGATCCATCTGACATCAGCAATTATATATCCCTGGAGCCCTTGCCTCCTCGAAATCCAGCTTGAACTTCTGGCAGTTCAATTCATGTTTACAGCAATATTATTCATAAAAACACAGAGTTGGAAACAGGGTTGTTTTTTGGATAGTGTCTATCAGTGGATGAATGGCTAAAGAAACTTTGGTACATTCACACAATGGAGTATTATGTATCACTTAAAAATCATTAAGAATTTAGGGACTAGTGTACAAAATAAATAAATCTAGAACAAATTATGCTGTTACATTATTTATGTACCATCAAGTCAGAAGTGACTCACAGCTGACCTTCCAGAGGGTTTTCAGAAGTAGTAAGTCAGGGAAAAGACTGCCTATCTATTTCCCATGACGTAGTTGTATACTCAGACCATATACCTTTTTGTAGGCAGGACAACCCCTGACCACTAATACACCAGACCTCAAGTGGCATTACGTTTATCACAAAAGGACACTTATTGTACAAGACTCCTGTTACAGAAAGCTTAGAAAAGGTTTACACACCAAGTCAATCTTCAAGGGTTAACAGGATGGGAAGGGCAGGAGAGGAAAGTAACAAGAAATATATAAGGTGAAGGCAAAGGCAATACACAAGAAGGCGCTGATTATGCAGAAGACATGACAGTATACAATGAAAACCCCAAGAACTCAACAAAAACCTGTAAGAACTAGCAGATCAATTTAGTAGAGTGGCAGGATAAAAGATCAATATACAAAAGTCAGTGGGATTCCTCTATAGTAACAAAGAAATCACAGATAAAGAAACTAGGAAATCAACACTATTTACAACAGCCAATGACAAATTAAGATACTTAGGAATAAATATAACTAGAGACACAAAAGTCCTTTACAAAGAAAACTAAAGAACACTTCTGCAAGACACAATAAAAGACCATTAAAAAAAATGTTCCCTGTTCATGGATAGGAAGACTCAATATAGAAAAAAATGGCAATTTTACTAAAAGCCCAATACAGATATCAAATTCACTTTTCAAAGAAATACAAAAGCCAATTGGCAAGTTTATCTGGAGAGGAAAGAGACCTCAAATAAGCAAAGCACTTCTGTAAACAAGAATGAAATGGTCAGCACAGCACTATCTGACCTCAAAACCTACCAAAACAGCATAGTACTGGTATAATGACAGGCACATAGACTAGTGGAATAGAATCGAGAACCTAGAAATTAATCCATCTATCTATGACCAACTGATATCTGTCAAGGAAACAAAAACCTATCAAATAGGGAAATGACAACTTCTTCAACAAATGGTGTTAGCAAGACTGGACTACTACCTGTAGAAAGCTGAAGCAAGACACAAATCTCTCACCATACACAAAACTAAACTCAAGGTGGATCAGAGACCTAGGGGTAAAGCCCAAAACGATAAAGATCATATAATAATAACTATAAATATATATATATATATATGTAGTAACTATATAATAACTATAAAGACCATTCATGATAGACACTATCCAAAAGACAACCCTGTTTCCAACTCTGTTTTTATGAATAATATTGCTGTAAACATGAATTGAACTGCCAGAAGTTCAAGCTGGATTTAGAGGAGGCAAGGGCTCCAGGGATATAAAGTCAAATCAAGCTTAGAAGGTCTAGCACATGGTATAAAAAGGCTGACAAATACAGCCAGAACCAGGAGAAGATAAAATTGAAGAATGGGACCTTCTAAAGATTAAAACCCTGTGTGCATCAAAAACGTTTTCCAACAGAGTGAAAAGAAAACCTACTGACTGGGATAAAAAAATATTTGACAATCACACAGCGTCCCAAAACAAAAGTTTACAGAATCCTATAGGACCTCTACAAGAAAAACACTGATGATCCAATTATAAAATGGGCTAAAGACAGGAAAAGACCTTTCACAGTGGAAGATATTTGGATGGCCAATAGATACATGAAGAAATGCTCAAAAATCACGGGTAATAAGAAAGATGCAAATCAAAACCACAATGAGATACCATTTCACCCTAGTAGCAGTAGAAAAGTTTAATAGGAGAACAAGTAATACATGCTGGAGAGGAAGTGCAGATAGGAACTCTTGTGCACTGTTCGTGGGATTGTAAAATGGTACAAACCACTCTGGAAGATAGTTTGGCATTTCTTCGAAAAGCTGAGCATAGAAATTGCACATTACCCAGTTATTCTACTACTTGGAATAGACCCTGAGAAAATGAGAAATGGGACACAAAGGGAGATATGTGCACAAATGTCCATAGCAGCATTATTCACCATCACAAGATCACAACCATGCTTACTGAAACTGAGGAGGACCTGAAGCGCTTGCTGCAGAAGGTCAAGGACTGCAACTTTCAAAATGGATTGAAGCTTAATATAAAGAAAACAAAGATTCTTACCACTGGGTCGATTGGCAGCATCATGATAGATGGTGAAGAGATTGAAACTATTAACATCTTTAGTTTTCTTGGTTCCACAATCAACACTCTTGGCACCAGCAGCAGCCGGGGGCGGGGAGGAGGGAGGAGAAAGA